CAGCAGCAGCAATATCATGACTCGCCACGGAAAGAACAACACCGCCTCGAGCGTCTATACCTATCATGAACGGCAGCGTGATACGAAGCACAGCGGCTACGGGACACAGCGCCAGCGTCTGGGCAAGGATTCAGTCAAGGACTTTAACGCCTGCAATCTGACGCTACAGGCGTGCCGCATACCGGTCATCACGTAAGTAGCTGGGGTAGCTTTTGTTTTTCCCAGCCCTCTAATTTCTGCCTTTGCCCATCAACAGACCTGAGGGCTACCTGTACGACAAGGAGGCGGTGTTGACGTACATCGTCAACCAGAAGGCGGAGATCGCCCGGAAGCTGAAGCAGTACGAGAAGGACCGCCTGAAGGAGGAGCGGGAGTTGGCCGAGCTGGCCGCCAAGGAGTTCAACGACAAGAAGGCCCGATTCATGGCGCAGGAGATGACTGTGATGAACAGCGGCGGCAGCAGCAGCAGTTCAGGCGCCTCCGGTTCCTCTTCTCTAAGCTCAGTCTCCAACATGAGCAGCGATCGCGGCAAGCAGCTGCCCAGCTTCTGGATCCCCGATCTGACGCCCTCGACGGCGAAGGAGCGCCTGAAGAAGCCCTCCACCGTGGTCACCTGTCCGATGAGCGGCAGTCCGCTGAAGGCGAACCGCCTCATTGCCGTCACCTTCTCCCCGGTGGACGCCTCCGTCGACGTGACCAAGAACCCCACCGGCACCGCCTACAAGTGCGCCGTCACGCATGACACGCTCACCAACTCGAGCAAGTGCGTCGTCCTCAGAACGTCGTAAGTTTGTTTTGCTGATTTAGGTGGCTCTAAATGCTTGGTTCTAATGATCACAAACTCTTTGTACAGAGGCGCCGTCGTCACCGAGGAGGCCGTGGAGAAGATCATCCGTAAGGACATGCTCGACCCGGTGAATGGGAAGCCACTGAAGGAGGCGGACCTCATTCCGCTGCAGCGCGGCGGCACCGGCTACTCGAGCGCCAACGAGCTGGTGGCCAAGGTGGCCAAGCCCGTCATGATGGCCTAGTAGCCAACCCGTGGCTGGTCACCACCACCACCTGACCTGACAATCACCCTCACCCCCTCATCGTCATCACCTGTATATTTTATGTTAGACTTCTCACCGCCATCCCAAACATAAACAAAACAAACCAACACAGATCTAATCACTTGGCGCTGATGTAGTTCTGCGCCAGCAGCAGCTGCCGGGCGACGTTGTTGATGTGCTTGAAGCGGTCAGGACCGAGCTGGACGCCGCCGTACCACCGCGACACGACCACCATCACATTGCGGGCATCGACGATGGTGAGCAGGTGGAGGAGGCGGCTTCCGGCGTGCGTCTCACCGTCGTCGTCGCAGTCGCTCATCGCAGTCTGTTGTTGCTCACTAACCTCAGACACTATCCGATAGGCCCAGATGTTGTGCGTCGCAGAGGCGACCTTGCGGTTCGATTTGAGCTGGGCGAGAACGGCCGCGGCCTCTTCTGGCGAGCGGACAGCGGCGAGGTGTGCCTGGAAGGTACTTCGTCGGTCTACGAGAGGATCGCCGTGGCTGATGGTGATCTGCTGTTGTTGTTGCTGTTGCTTCTGCAGCTGATACCTTTTATCGTCATCTTCGACGTTTTGGTCCTGCTTCTCTTCCAGAAGTTCGATTTCTGAATGGTTCTCATGGATTTGGCTTTCCCGTTCCTTTTCCTCCCTCTCTCGTATTGCGGCTATCGCCTGCTGACCGGCCTCGGCGATCATGTACAGAATGGCGACGCCTGGATTCGCCGCACAAAGCTCTTCGATGGTGTCCACCAGACAGGCCTTCTCCTCGCGGTCCATCCAGGGCGCGGAGAGCTCCACCAAGGGCCGTGAGTCGCCCGGATAGCCCTTGGGCAGCCTGAAAAGCATCTTCAGTGATCGTCGTCTGTCATTGGTGGCGGTGATAGCATCGGCGGCCAGCGTCAGCGAGTAGGAGCCGCACCGGGCGTCCTCGACGGCCCAGTCATCGGCGTAGATGGCCGCCAGCGCCTCCAGCTCGTCCCTCCTCGCCTCCTCTTGACCACTACTGTCCATGTGCTACAAGTGCCTGTGGTTAGAAGTGTTCCGGTCCAAAAGATCCGCTCCGACAACCAGAAAAAAGTGCCAAAAGACGTTTACCAGCAAAACAAATCAGCAAACAAGTGAAGGACGACTTTGCTGCAGCACAATCGATTCTACCCTCCCTCTCTCCGCTGCACAGAAGCGAAAATCACGTTTTCCCCAGAAACGTCAACAAACCTGAAGTACTTTTTCTTCTTCAGGAGAACTCCATCAAGAAGAAGACCATGAAGCTGAAGCAGCTGGAGATGCTCCTCCAGTCGGTGGCCGGCTTCAGAGAGCCCAAGCTGAAGCACGAACAGTACGAGACGGGCCACCACATCGGCGCACGGATGCTCTTCACCATGGCCAACGCCGGCGACATCGAGGGCAAGGCAGTCCTCGACCTCGGCATCGGCTGCGGCCGCCTCGGCATTGCCGCCGCCCACCTGGGCGCCGCCTACGTCCTCGGCGTCGACATTGACCCGGACGCTCTGGCGCAGTGCCAGGAGAACATTCAGGCGATACGGGAGGAAGAGGAGGACGAAGATGAAGAGATGCTAACAAACATCGATCTTCTGTGCGCCGACGTCTCCGATGATTCCGGTGGTCTCTGGGACCGCCTATCCTCGTCCGCTTTTCAAGTAGTCATCATGAACCCTCCCTTCGGTACCAAGGCCGGCAACAAAGGCCTCGACGCGGTCTTCCTCCGGCGAGCACTGGCCATCGCCAGCGAGACCGTCTACAGCCTCCACAAGACCTCCACGCGGGAGTACATTCTCCGCAAGGCAAAGGAGTGGGGCGCCAGACGGGCAGAGGTGGTGGCGCAGCTCCGCTACGACCTTCCCGCCACCTACAGCTTCCACCGGAGAGCGAGCAAGGACATTGAGGTGGACTTTTATCGCTTTGAGAAGTGAGTTCCAAGTTCATGTTGTGTAAATACAGTGGTGATAATGTTGTGTAAATAAACCGAAGCCTTTCTACCGAAGCTACTCGTTGTCCATAAAGGCGGACAGCTTGAGGCCGATTGCCTCGGCGACGGTCACCATCTGCCGGTGGGTAACACTGTCCGAGAGCTGGTAGCGGCCGGCGCAGCTGATGGGCGCACTGCTGTTCGCCGTCGGCCGAATCGCCAGCACCAGATTCTGCTTGAGCAGCTCGGTGAACTGGCCCTCGACGAGGCTGGAGATGAGCAGAGAAGAAGGAGATGATGAATTTGAAGATGAAGAAGAGCTGCCCTCGTTCAGCTGCAGCAGCGCCTGGTAGATCTGAAACAGCCGCTCAAAGGTGAACGGCTTGGGCGCCTTCGACTCTGCCTCGAGGTTCTCCGCCGTTTTGCTATGCAGCATCGTTCGCCGGCGTCGCCGACCGCTGACCTTGCCCTGGTTGCGCACAAAGTACCGCTTGTCCGTCTTGGAGGAGTTGTAAGAGGCGAGGTAGGCGGCCACGAGAAGGTAGTTCATCGAGGGTGAAAGCTGAATTGATAGCGAGGAAGTTGCTAAAGACTGCTGATTCGATCCTCGAAGAACCTTGTGGTCGTTCAGCGACTCAATCACCGCTTGCAGACGCGCCTGAAAGCGCAGATACAGCTTGGCGGAGTCCTTTCTGGTGATTCGCCAGCAGTCTCCTCCTTCGGTGGCGTCATCAGAGTCCCCCTCCCCATTCCTATTATTCTCCTTATCCCCCTCCTCAATGGGCGCAATGTAGTGGGCAAAGTTGGACAGGCAGACGTACTGAAGCTCGAGCAGGTTTCGCGTGTAGTTGTTCAGACCGCGGGTGATCACATTTACGTAGCTGAAACAGCAGAGAAACGGTAATTAGAAATTAGAAAAGCACAAAACACTTTTTACCTAGCATAAAACTCCGGTGAGTACTTTAAATTAACGCCCACTGTCCGCGGAACCGCCCTTTTTGAGAGCAGCTGGTTCAGCTCGGCGATGGAGTAACTGTTGAAGACTACCTCAAGGAGGTCCCACTTGGCGTCACACTGGCGGACAATCCAGTCGACGGAATGTATGCTGATAAAGACCACCGACACGGGGACCATCTTCTCGGTGAGCACCTCAATGTTGCCCAGCAGGTACACCAGCTCCGCCCAGCGCTCCTCCTGGAAGAACGCGTCCGCATTGTCCACCACCAACACGAGCTTCTTCTGGAACTCCTCCAGATGCCTTTCGCCCTTCACCTGCTGTAGGTGGAAGACGAAGTCAGCGAAGCACTCCAGCAGCTTCTGCAGACGGTCAAGAAAGACGGGCGAGCTGGTGCAGCCGGTGATGTTCAGCGCCTTGGCCCGATCGAGAAACTCTGCCATGTTGGCTGTCTCCTCTTCCTCCTCCTCCTCCTGCTCGCACAGAGCGACCAGCCGGCGGCGAAGCTGTCGCAGCACTGCCTCGTAGACGTTCTTCGCCGAGATGTGGCTCAGGGCGTTGATGGTGGCGGCGAAGAGGCGTGGCAGCCGACTGGCCAGGGCGCCCACGACGGCCGTCTTCCCGGTGGCTCGAGGGCCGAAGGCGAGCAGGCGGTTGCCATCGCGCAGCGCCAGGTAGTGGTGCAGCTGGCGGATGGGCGCCTCGCGGAAGGGGTAGTCGGCGAGGAGGGACCGCACAATCGGGTTGTCATCCTCGGTGGGGCCCATAGTAGTAGTGTAATCTGAAGTTCTTCTTTGGAGAAGTAGAAACAGCAACAAGTTTGCGTCTCAAAACAGAGCGCTGCCGCCGTTTTTTGTCGGCTGCAGTCGCTTCAGGGTCACCTCCTCTGCGATCACCCCCAAGCACGCCGCAAACATTTGTTTTGATCAGTTTTGGTCTTTTACTGCTGCTGCTGTTGCTGATTCAAAAGAGAACATTGGATTCAAATCAAAATCCTTTTTTGGATAACATCTCTCGGTGACTCATCATCACTATCAGTGGAGGATCATTCACACCTTCGCCTGACATTATGCTTTCCCTGAGGAGCCTTCTCCTCCTCGGACGGAGAAGGGTGCCTTTTTCGGCTGTCCTACTTCAGAACAGCCTACGAGCTTGCAGTTCGTCGAAGTCATCGAGTCGAGACATTGAGGCGCTGCTCGCTAGCACTCGAACCTCACCAAATTCATCTTCAAATTCATCCTCATCATCAGCAGCTGACGAGTGGGGCGACATCGGCGAGGAGCTGACGGGGAAGAAGCTGAGCAAGGAGCAGCTGATCCCGGTGTTGAACAAGTTCCTCCAGCGGCAGTCCATTCGCCAGCTGGCCGCAGAACACGGCCTCAAACCAAAGCTCCTCATCGAGGCCTTCAGCTCATATCGGCGGAAGATTCTCGAGGCGAAGGTACTTGACCCGGAGATCCACATCCTCCTCTCGGACATTGTCCATGCGAAGGGCCACGTCGACGACCTCTTTCCCTCCTTTCTGAAGCACGCCAAGCAGATCTACCCGCACATCGACTGCCTCGATGATCTGAAGAAGATCAGCGACCTGCGGTTGCCGCCCAACTGGTACCCACAGGCGCGCACCCTCACCCGCCGCTTCGTTTTCCACTGCGGCCCGACAAACAGCGGCAAAACGCACCAGGCGCTGGAGCGCTTCATCTCCGCCAAATCGGCCATCTACTGCGGGCCGCTGAAGATGCTCGCCGTGGAGGTGTACCAAAAGGCGAACGCCGCCGGCGTCCCCTGCGACCTGATCACCGGCGAGGAACGGCGGTACGCCTCTGTGAGCAACATTGGAGCTACCGGCACCTCATCCTCTTCAAACCCCATCTCAACTTCGACAATCACGCCAACCGCCTCCTCGCACGTCGCCTGCACCGTGGAGATGTCCAGCGTCAATCAGCGCTACGAGGTGGCCGTCATCGACGAGATTCAGATGGTGCGCGACGCGGAGCGCGGCTGGGCCTGGACGCGCGCCCTCCTCGGCATCGCCGCCGACGAGGTGCACCTCTGCGGGGAGAAGGCCGCCCTCAGCCTGGTCGTCGAGCTGCTGGCCACCACCGGCGAGACGGTGGAGGTGCACGAGTACAACCGCCTGACGAAGCTCACCGTGGAGGAGGCGGCCCTGGAGACGCTGGAGGCCGTCCGCCCCGGCGACTGCATCGTCTGCTTCAGCAAGCGGGACATCTACGCCGTCAGCCTCCGCCTGGAGCGGATGGGCTTCAACGTGGCCACCATCTACGGGACGCTGCCGCCGGCCACCAAACTGCTGCAGTCGAGCAAGTTCAACGACCCCGCCGACCCGTGCAACGTCCTGGTGGCCACCGACGCCATCGGCATGGGCCTCAACCTCTCCATCCGCCGCATCGTCTTCTACAGCCTCGTCAAGCCCACCTTCAACCGGCAGCAGGAGAAGACGCTCGATGTGATTCCCGTCTCGCAGGCGCTGCAGATTGCCGGGCGCGCCGGCCGCTACCGAACGCAGTACGCCGAGGCGGGCTACGTCACCACCTTCAGGGCGGAGGACCTGCCCATCCTCCGCGAGGTACTGGCCTCGCCGGTGGAGGAGATCGAGGCCGCCGGCCTCCACCCCACCCTCGACCAGATCGAGCTCTTCAGCTTCCTCCTGCCCAACGCCACGCTGAGCAGTCTGCTGGACATCTTCATCAGCCTCTCTCAGCTCAATCCGCACTACTTCATGTGCAACATCGAGTCGATCAAATTCCTGGCGGGCATTCTGGAGCACATTCCCCTCCCCCTGCGCGCCCGCTACGTCTTCTGCTGCGCCCCGGTGGACAACAAGTCGAACTTTGTCTGTGCGATGTTCCTCAAGTACGCCCGGCAGTTTGCCAACGCCCAGCCGATGACCGTCCACTGGCTCTGTGCCGCCCTCAAGTTTCCCTTTCGGCGGCCGGCGAACATGGCCGAGCTGGATCACCTCCTCTCCGTCTACGACTGCTTCGACCTGTACCTCTGGCTCAGCTACCGCTTCCCGGACGTCTTTCTCGACCAGGAGCTGGTGAGGGGCGTACAGCGGAAGCTCGATGAAGTGATCCTCGAGGGGGTGATGAACATCACCAAGCTGCTCAGGGCTTCGGGCACCGGCGGTGGGGGAGCGAGTGTTGGCGGGCCGTACACTCGAGGTGGGGGCGGTGGTGGTGCACACTCGCCGAGTGCGAGGAGCAAGCAGATCAGCATGCTCATCAGCAATAGTGAAAGTGATATGAACGCCTCTTCCTCCACACCAAGGAGGGACAACTCAAACTCTTCCAACAACTCAACTAGCACCACCTCGAATTACGAAGTTCCCTATGTAAAGAAACTCAACGGAAACTGATAATGCTTAATGTTTGACTATGTCTGTAGATATGATCTGATCTGCCCCTGATTATGATTCTTCTGTGTAATTATTATTACCCCTTCTCTATTCTATTTTTATATGTTTTACTATTTTGGAAGTAAGTTGTGTGAGATGATGAAGGTGTTGTTGATGATGTTGTGTATCAAATTAAAATCTTGACAGAAATGTCGTAAACCCTTTGTTTTATTACAGTGTATGCTTTTGGTGTGAATGTGTCTTCTTTCCTTCCATCATATTATTTCACTTGCTGTTACTGGAGAGGCCGCTGATGCAGCTCCACTTGCCGTCGGGCGTCTCCTTCCACAGGCTGACCTTGTTGTCGCCGCCGCTCACCGCCAGAATGTTGCCCATGATCGACCAGGAGACGTGCCAGACGACGTCGTCGAAGGTGTTCAGCACGTTGAAGGTCCAGTGGCCGGTGCCGCTCAGCGCCTCGCCCACGCTGCCGTCCCCAGAGGCCGAGGTGGCCAGTACCTTCGTCCAGATGATCACCCGGCGGTCCTGCGAGCAGCTGGCAATGTAGGTCTTGGGGAGGCCGGTGCTGGGCGCCCAGGCGACGTCCCTCACCCAGTCGGAGTGCGCCTCCAGCTTCTGCTCCTCCAGCCACTTGTCCTCCGCCTCGCTGAACAGCCAGATCTTCACCAGATTGTCGCAGCCGCCGGAGACGATGCGCCGCTGCGGCGTGTAGCCGGCGGCGCTGGTCGGTGGAAAGACCGGTCCCCAGCTGACGGAGTTGCAGCCAATGGAGTGGGCGTTGGGGATCTTCTTCACGTCCCAGACGTTGCTGGTGGTGGCGGCGCCGGGGGCGCGGCTCAGCACCGAGATGGTCCCGTCGGAGGAGCCGCAGGCGAGCACCAGCCCTAGCTCGTGCGGCGCCCAGCAGACGGAGTTGACGCTCGAGTCGTGGTTGTTCGACTCGTAGATCTTCTCCCACTTCTCGGCGCCGCCGCCTGTGCCCCCACCACCGCCTCCATTATCGCCGTTTGAGCTGCTGGTGCTGGTGTTGGCGGTCTCCTTCCAGATGATCACCTTCTTGTCGTAGGAGCAGGAGGCGAGCAGGTTCTCGTACTTTGGATGCGCCCAGGCCACCTGCCACACGGGGCCCTCGTGGCCGTTCAGAGTGGCCAGCAGCTGCTGTTGGCCGCCGCCCCCGCCACTCCCACTGCCCGCGTCAATCTTGAAGATCTTGACGCTCTTGTCGCTGGAACAGGTGGCCAGCTTCGTGCCGTAGTAGTCCATCTGCGCGTCGTGGATCATGTCCTCGTGGGAGGTGTCCACCTGCGCCTGAAGCGTCACCGCCGTAGTGGAGGACATTGTGGCTGCTGATGGCTGTGTTAATGTTTGTTGAAGCAGAGATCTGTCAAGAAGATAAGTCGTATTTAGTCCGGTGAAGAATACTTGAAACTGAATCGAGGTTACCGGTTTGTTGTTTTTCCACTTTCACGTCACTTTTCGCCAGTCTGGTTCGGCCGGGTCTAAATAGCCAGGCCACCGACCGCTATTTTCACCAACCCCGCTCTTCGACCGCCGTCCTCTGTGACGGGCTTCTTTGTGCTGCTCGCTCGCTCGTTCGCTGGCATTTTTTAGCCATTTCATTGCGCACTGCATTTTTCTCTCGAGAGTTTCTTTCTCTTTCTCTTTTTCCTTGTCAGGCTAGGTTCCTTTCTCTTGAGCGTTTTAGAGTTCTAATTTGTTATTTGGTAAGTTAGCTTCTCTCGGACAGGTCAGCCAGTGAGAGAAGTACTTAAACTTTTGATCGTCGTCATCGGAAGCGTCATCATCATCATCATCATCAGCTGCAGCAGCAGCTTTTTTTTCTTCAACTCAGTGATCATAGCAACACAACCACGCGACAACAACACAATCCTTCCATCCATCAGCAGCAGCAGCAGTGACGACGTCGTCGTATCACCACAATGTCTATCATCATACGGTTGCAAAATCTGCCATTGGAGGCGAACTCGATGGACATCCGGCGCTTCTTTCAAGGCCTGCACATTCCCGACGGCGGGGTGCACATTGTCGGTGGCGAGAATGGCGACGCATTCATCGCCTTTGGCAGCGACGAGGACGCCCGCCAAGCGATGGGCCGCGACGGTAATCTGATCAAGAACTCGCGCGTCAAGTTGCTACTGAGCTCGCGCAATGAAATGCAACGCGTCATTGACAACGTCCGCATAGCAATGGCCATCAGCTTGAACAACCCGGCGCTGGCACCAGCCACCGGTGCGCCAAACATCGGCGGCGGCGGTGTTGGAGGAAATGTTGGAATGGCTGTTGGTGGAGGAGGAGGAGTTGGAGGAGGAATTGGAGGAGTTGGAGTTGGTATTGCAGGCATTAACCAAGGCATTAAGAAGGATGTTCAGGGCATTGCCTATGTGGCTCAGCAGCAGCCTCAAGTCATAGCGAAGCAACCGCTGCATAATCAGCCAGGCGGTCCAGTCGCCTTCAGAAATGTTAGCGGGCCGGCTCAGCAGCAGCAGCAGCCGCCAATGGGCGGCGGCGGAGGCTACCAGGGCGGTCCTGGAGCAGCAGGTCAAGTCGGTACCCATCCTCAGTTCTCCTCAGGTCCACTGAACAACCAAAATAGCCTCGGTGGCTACGGAGGTGGTGGCATGCAGCAACAGCAGCCACCGCCGAAGATGATGCACCCCAGTGAGGGCCCAAACAACTTTCAGGCACGTCAGCAGCCAAACTATCGAGCGCGCAGTCGAAGTCGAAGTCCGCCGATTCGGGTGCCCTCTTCGCTGCCTTCCGATGCGATCGGCGGCGGCGGTGGTGGCGGCCACTCGATGCAGTCGGGACTGATGGGCTCACTTCAGCAACAACAACCACAGCCACAGCCGCCAATTCCAAATCAGATGTACGGACAGAACAATGGCTACAATCAGCAGCAGCAGCCACTGCCACCCAATAACGGCGGCGGTGGTTTTCAGCAATCAAACAATGGGCCTTATGATAACGGAAACAACAGTGGTCCTGGGGGTAACTTCTACTCTCGACCACCTCAGCAGCAGCAGCAGCAGTACGGGGAAGATCGCTGGACAAGTGGCAGTGGTGGTGGTGGTCCGCAGCAGCAAGGCGGACCGATGAACATGGGCGGCGGCGGCGGCGGCGGAAATCTTGGTCAGTCAGTTGGAATGGGCGGTGGTGGAGGAGGAGGGCAGTNCAGTACGGGGAAGATCGCTGGACAAGTGGCAGTGGTGGTGGTGGTGGTCCGCAGCAGCAAGGCGGACCGATGAACATGGGCGGCGGCGGCGGCGGCGGCGGAAATCTTGGTCAGTCAGTTGGAATGGGCGGTGGTGGAGGAGGAGGGCAGTTGGTTGACAGTTATCAGCAGCAAGCGAATCAAAACATGTATCCACGAGGTGGTGACCCTCGGGGTGATCCTCGAGCAGGAGGAGATCCTCGCAACGTTGGAAATCAGCCGCCGTACAATCAGCAGCAGCAACAACAATATCCTCCACAGAACTCTTCGGGACCAATGGGATACGGCAACAACAACAACATGGGTGGACCGCTACCACCGCAGCAGCAGCAGCAGCCACCGATGAATCAGGTCAACAACAACAATGCCAACAATGCTCGCCTCTTTGACGTTCAACTGTGGAACTTGCCGGTGGAGGTTCGCTCCTACGATTTGCTTAGCTTCTTTGCTCCGCTCTACCTAACGGAGGAGCACGTGAAGATCTTCTACGACGAGCGCCGCCTGCCCTCTGGCATGGCCGTCGTCAGCTTCAGCTCGGCGCGCGACATGGACGCCGCCCTCGGCTACAATGGCCGATATCTGCTGGGGAATAGCATCACTGTTAGACCGATGACCGATCTGGCCGCAGATCGGGGAAATCTTGGCGGCGGCGGCGTTGGAATTGGAACAGGAGCAGGAGGAGGTGGTAATGTGAGCAACGGAGGTTACGGAGGGCAACATGTAAACAACAACAACAGCAACTTTATGCCGCCAAACTCTGCCTCCCAGCTGCCTTCCAATGAGCCCTCCTCTGCCTACATTGATCCGAATTCGAACTATCCTCAAGGCGGAGGTGGCGGCTTCAGAGCCTCTCCGGGACCACAGATGGACATGCCGTACACCAACAATCGGCCTCCTCCTCCCGGGGGACCATTTCAAGGAGGAGGAGGGAATCATCCGATGGCACATCACCAGCCACAGTCTCAGCGATATCTTCCTCAGCAAGGCATGCCGGGCGGTCCGGGAGGGCCGCCGGGAGGAGGTGGTGGGGGACCCCATCGTCCGGGAAAGCAGCTGGTACTTTTCATGAAGGGCCTGCCCTTTGGCAGCTGCACGCCGCGTGACGTGGAGGACTTCTTTCAGAACATTCCCCTGGTGAACGTGGAGATTGAGCGCGACCCGCGCACCGGGAAGCCCTCCGGGAACGCCTTTGTGGAGTTTGACAACAAACACGACTATGACCGCGCAAAGAAGTTCAACATGCGCCACATGGGCCACCGGTACATTGAACTGATTCCCCTGCACAAGCTGATGATGGGCGGCGGTGGTAAGGGCGGTGGAGATCGAGGAGGTCCTCACGGCGGTGGTCCACCCCGCCCGGTGACGTTCTGCGTCAACGTGAAGGGCCTCTCGCCGTCGATTAGCAGCCAGGACCTGAAGAACTACTTTGGCGTAAATGGCGCCCGTCCCTATGCCGTGCACATTATGCTCACGCCCAATATGCTGAACGCCGGAGAGGCCTTCCTCGAGTTCCTCGACAAGGAGGGCTACAAGCGGGCGCTGAAGAAGGACGGCGCAGAGCTGGGCAGAGACCGACTGCTCATTCAACCGGTTCCCTATGAAGTAGTCATGGGCGCCATCGTTAAACCAAAGGGAGGAGGAGGTTTCGGGGGTGGTCCTGGTGGTCCTGGTGGTGGCTTCAACAAGGGCGGCGGCGGCCCTCACTCTCACGTCCCACCGCCCCCTCCACCTCCTCCGCAGCGGGCGCCGGCGCCGTTTGAAGACCGCGCCGCGACGCTGATCGCCCTGGACTGCAGCAGCAAGGCCGTCGAGGAGGACTACTGCCTGTTCTTCGAGAAGTTCGGCATCGGCCCGGAGCGCGTCAAGCTGGCGATGAACGGGCACACTGGGGCCGTCGAGGCCACCATCAGCTTCCACAGTCGGGCGGACGCGGCGGAGGCGATGCGCACCGCCAACGGCAAGTTCTTCTTTGGACGGACGATGAAGCTGGAGTTTCTCTGAACACGCAGAAGTACTGCCGGAAAACGGTACTTCTTGGCACACCGGTTCTTTTCTTTTGTTTCTCATCCTTCTCCTCATACGTCTTTAGATTTGGCCTCATCCTCGTTCATCTCTTCACACGGCTCTTCATCCTCATCTTCATCTTCTCCATCTTTTTTGATGATTACTCTTTTTCTCTTTGGTCATCTCTTTTTCATCCATCCCTGTCCTTTTCCTTTTCTTCCTTTCCCTACTTAAGGATAGCTTCCTTCTCTCAGTCCTCTTCCAGGCTTCTCACTTTACTACTTTCTAGCTCTCTCTCTTTCTCCAACTGTAAATACTGAATTAACTGGTTATTTTGTGTTATGTTTTGAGTTCAAAACTGTAAAAACTATCCTATAAATAAAATGGAGTTTATATCTAGCATTTATTTGTCAAAAGGTGTTTTAGGGTTTTTTGTTTTGGAATGATTCTCGGATTCTAGATTCAGTGATGTTGCAAGCAAACAAGTAAACATTTGCCGTCAGTTTGTACGGTGCAGTTCAGAGTACTTGCTGTGTGTAAATCGGGCGCAGAGAAAAGCTGCCGCTACTTCTGCAACTGCCAATGTTTTGCAAACGCGTTTGTTGTCGTTCACTTAGAAACGAGTCGTCCACTTGAACGGAGCTTCAGCGCCAAAAAGCCGCCGCATCTTCAACAACGAGATCTAGTAGAATCTTGTAGTCGCCTTCCTGGAAGCCAGCACCATCAAAGAGTTGATCAAGAAAAAGAAGCGAAATGTCAACTCGAAACCGTGCCATCGTCGGCTACGGATCTCAGGCCAATGTCGGCAGCGGAGCCAGTAACGGCGCCAGGAGCGGCCGTCGACGTCGAGCTAACGAAGATGACGATGAAGAAGGTGGTGAACAAGAAAGCGGCCGTCGAAGAGGAGCAGCTTCAAGCGCCGACATCGGCATGTCCGTCAGTGAGCTGGAGGCGCTGATCAGCACGACGACGCGCTTCGTGGTCAGCCACCAGGGAAAGACGGTGCAACGAGCAGAGATACTGAAGTTTCTCACGGAAGACCACAGCGTCTCGAAGAACGCCTTTGCCGAAATCATAAAGGGGGTTTGTTTGCCATTATTTCCTCTGTTTACCAGTTTCTTAATTGACGTGTTTTGCCATCTTTTTTTTGTTGATTCAGGTGGAGAAGCGCCTCGAGGAGACCATGGGCTTCAAGATGGTAGAGGTGGCCAACAACAGCTTCATGCTCTACAATCCCTACACGCTGGCGGAAATTAACATGGACTTTACCTGCGGCGATGAGGAGGAGGACGAGCAGGAGGAGGAGGAGGGAAACCTCACCTTCCGAGCTAACAGTGCCGCTCGCAGGAGACGCCGAAGAATGGCAAACGGTGGTGGTAGTGGCCGTGGTCGAGGCCGTTCATCTCGCGACCCGGATGATGATGAGGAGGAGGAAGAAGGAGACGACGAGGAAGAGGAAGAGGATGATGACCTCTCACCGGAGGAACTGCTCGACCACACCCGAAAAGGCCTGCTGCTCATTGTCCTCGCCAATCTGTACATGAACGAGGATCCGATGTCACAAACGGAGCTGCTCGAGTGCCTCAAAATGGCCAACATTGACCCTGAAGCGAAGGTCAACGACGGCGACATTGACGGTAAGGAATTAACTCCCTTGAGTAAACTTCACAGTTACATCTCTGCTTTATTACAGAGAAGCTCACCGTAGAGAAGATCGTCCTGGAGGAGCTGCGCATCGCCAACTACCTGAAGCGAACGAAGGTGACCAACGGCGGCAACGGCGTGGAGAACCTGCCCAACTACTACATCTTCAGCTGGGGCCTGCGTGCCTGGCTCGAGTTTTCGCCCACCGACGTGGTGGCCTTCGTGAAGAACGTCTACAAGACGGTGGGCGGCCACAATGGGTCTGAGGAGGAGCTCCGCTGGGAGCGCATGTCGAAGCGCCTAGCGAAGGACGAACAGGCTCGCAAGATGCTACTGCAAAGGGGCCAGGCGGCCTTTGAGGAGCTGGTTGGCCAGAAGCGACACGACCTGGACGGCAACGCTGACGGCCAGCAGCAGCAGTCACGAGAGTCTCCGCCGGCTACCAACCGCCGCCACCGTGGACGGCCTCGAGGAGCAGCTACCCAGAATGGGCGAAGAAGGGAAGAGGAGGAGGGGGAGGAGGAAGAGGAAGAAGAGGACGAGGGGGAAATTCCCGACAGCTATCGAGAGAGTGCTCGTCGCTCACTTCGTGCTGGAGGCTCTAGCCGCCAGGCGCCGCCGGCCCGAGGTCGTGGGCGTCGTGGTGCTGGTCGCAGTACTTCTCCTGAGGTTGAGGAGGAGGAAGAGGAGGAAGAACCGGTGGATGTGAAGCCGAAGCGCGGCCGAGGTCGGCCGAAGAAGAAGTGAAATTCACTCCTTACTAGTTGTAAGTCTTTGAAGCTGTCTCTCTCTCTCTCTCTCTGTTCTCTATGTCCTAACAACAACAACAACAACACTGGCGCTCTTGTTCATATCCATCTACCCCATACAGTAGCGACTTTTTAAACACTTTCAAACACGGCCGTTTTTTTAAACTTGATGTAAATAGTTAAAATAGAAAATGTAAAATGATTACTATAAATCAGAAAGAGCTTTACGTTTTTCCTTAAAGAGGCCATCTAGTATCGAGGCGAACAATGTTGCTAAATTAATAAATGCGCCGATTAGCGTCATGATGATCCATCTTAATTAGCAGCAGGGGGAGGAGGATGAGGAAGTACATTTACAACATGAGCTTCACTTTTAGAACTTTGTATGCTCAATTTTCTTTTGATTGGTTAAAAAGTAGGTTCCCTCTTTCTTTTCTGGTGAAATGATCAGATCAGCTGACTAGTGTTTGGGTTCTGATGTGTGGGTCTAGCCACCCTAATGACAATGTACTTGCAATGCCTAGTGCATTCTCAGCAAACTTTCTATTTCTATTCTTGAAATTGCTAGTTGCTATTTTTATTTATCAGCAACCTTTCTTTTTCTTGCTTGACTCTTCCATCACCACTAAGTGACAGT